GTGCTGCTTGCTCATGATCCCAGCCAATTACTTGAGTTTTAAACTCTTTGTTAAGGTAAGAGTCTGCTTCCAATGTGGAGAGTGTACTGTCCCAAGCTTCAGGGGTTTGTGTAGCTGTTTTCAGAGATACTTGTAGGGACCTATAAATTTTCAGTTCTTCCAAGGTGGTATGATAAGGGGCGAGGTGTTTACTCCTTTCCTGGCCTGTGACCACAAATATTCCTTTCTGACCTGTAACTGTGAGGATGGGTTCCTCTTCACAGCCATTACAAGCTCTATCATGCCACCTCTCCTCCTCACCCCAGCACTGCCTCCCAGAACTGTGACCCAGATCCACACAAGGGCAAAGCAAGAGATTCCTGCCTCAGCACTGGCAAAGAGATCCCTGCAGTCCCTGTCTGATCAGCCACTGGATTTCCCCTCAGTCTGTGGGCTGGAAGCTCGGGAAGCAGCTGCGCCCCCCCCCGGCCACACTCTTAGGGAATGAAGCTGAAACCCTGCCTTCCTCTCTGACCACCGACAGAAACAGACTTTTCCCACTGACCTTCTAAGTTGTCTTTGGCATTGGTGGATTGAGGAGTCTGGAAACCGCCACAGCTGCCTGCGATTTAGTCCTCTGAGGCCTGCTCCAGGTTTGCTGTGTGGCCTGCGCGCCCACGCTGCGCTCCCAGCCCAGCGCGATACACCTTTCTGATCAATCATCCAGGTTGTCTTGGGCTGGAAATTTGTTTCACTCTGTCTTTTTGTGGGTTCTGCTGCTTCAGAATTTGTTGAGAGCCATTTTTTATGAGTATTTGGAGGGGTTTGGGGGAGAGCTCAAGCAGGTCACTGCTTTCACTCTGCAGTCTTGGCTCCGCCCCCCCCAGCCAGTTCTACTTTTTAAAAACTTCTTTTGTCCAGTGAATTTTTGTGCCTCTTTCGCCATTTGGCTAGTTCTGCTTTTTAAGGTCTTATTTTCTTCAGTCTTTTTGAGCCTCTTTTACCAAGCTGTTAATTTTCTTTTCTTAATTTCATCGCATTGTTCTCATTTCTTTCCCCAATTTTTCTCTACCTCCCTTACTTGACTTTTAAATTTTTTCTTACTTCTTTAGCTCCTTTAAGATTCTTTTTGTGTTTGTGTCCAATTTGCGTTTTTCTTTGAGCTTTTGCATGTAGCTGTTTTCACATTACTGTCTCCTCAGTTTGTATTTTGATGTTGTCTGTTAATTGTAGTTGATTTTTATGGTCAGGTTCTTTTGTTGTTGTTGGCTCATTTTTCTTCTTTTTTTCCTAAGGCAATTGGGATTAAGTGACTTGCCCAGGGTCACACAGCTAGTAAGTGTCAAGTGTTTGATCTGAGGCTGGATTTGAACTCAGGTCCTCTTGACTTCAGCGCCGGTGCTCTATCCACTGTGCCATGTAGTTGCCCCTGTTACTGGCTTATTTATTGACTTTGAACTTTATACTGAAATCAGTCTCTGCTCACCAAGGGAAAAGCTTTAGGCTTTTTTGTGCTGTTGTTTTCAGGTTTAGTTCTAGGGGTACTTCTAAGGTTTTGTGATCTGGGGAGAAGTGCTTTCATGGTCAGTACTTTGGGCCTTTATCCAGGAAGGATCCCTACTTTGCTGCAGCCACAAACACGACCATTTCTTTCTGCCCTGGAGCTGTGGGCCAGAACTCAGTATAGGTGATAGGGTTGCCAATAGTACCTGGTACTACACCAGTGCCAGCATAGGGGTCACTTTTAATCCCTTTTTGACCAGTTGTCAAACCCCTTTACATTCTCTGGGCTAAGAGCTCCTGGAGCTGCTTTTGCCACCTCCAAAGCTCACCACTAGCATTGTCTACCCCAACTTCCTACCCCAGTGTCATAGACCTCTCCTTCCAACCTCCTATGTTGTCTTGGGTTGGAAAAATGTCTTACCCTGATCTTTTGTTGGCTAAGATTCTCCAGAATTTGATTTGAGCCATTATTTTAAAGGTTTTTGGAGAGTAATGTTGGGAGAGCTCAGCTGGGATGCTATTTCTACACTGTCATATTGGCTTTGTCTCCCTAGTAACATTTTCCAAAAATTTTTCTTCCCATCACAACCTCTATCATATCGTTGGCACATTCAGTCAAACAACAAATTTTTATTAAGTACTTGGACTTGAAGCCACATCTTCTGATGCCAAATTCGCTATTCTTTCTATGGTATTACTACTTGTAAGTATTAGTATGTATAATGTCATACATATGTGTGTGTGTTTACACTTCAGTACTCTCAGATAGCTATGATTTCATTGATGTGGGTGCTTCTGTCACTGATCCATATCCCAACCCATACATGCCTTTTCACCTTGTATGCCAGGCACTGTACTACTGGCTGGGAATATGAAGACAAAGATAAATTAATACTTGCCCTCAAGGAGCTTTACTCTATTGGGTGGCAACATGTACACAAATACTATAAATATATGTGAATAAATATCAGGTAGTTTTGTAAACCTTGTGTAAGGCTGTGTGTTGCTCATGTAGGTTATCTCTTTCCATGTGGTTGTCTAAATGTGGCTCTCTTGAGGTATTGATGAATACTTCTAGGATCTTACCAACTTCTCTTTGATTCCTGCTTGGGAAGAGCAGGGGAAAGGGCTTCTTCTCTGAGTTAGAGTTGTGCCAGGCTGGAAGTGTATATCTCTTTCCCTTTATAAAATTGGTGGTCTAGGGGCATGGCTTTCTATGTGGTATGCTTATTGCTTCCAGAGTCTTTCTCTTTTCACAAGCCTTTTTCCAAAGATTATTTAGAACCATTTGTGTCTTTCTTGAAGTGTGAATTAAGAACGTCACTCCTTTCCAAAGATTTCATGCTAACACTGCAACTCACACAGAAATGCAATATTTACTTGTAATTCTCTTGACCAATCTGGAATCATGCCTAAGCAACAGCTTATAAAATATTTCAGGCTTGAAACCTGAGCTACATTCATATTTGTATAACTATACCTGCTCCCAAGAAGAACATTTCTATCCATTTAAAATAAGTAAATCTCTGAAACTTTAAGGTAGGCTTCCATTACACAGTGTAAATCTATGTCTTTGCTTTATCACTCTCACTACCTGTCTGTAGCACAGTGCATTGTTGTAGAAGATTAATACATGTGTGTTGTTTGTTAAATGGATGAATGAACGAATTAATAAAACAGCTTTAAAAAAACACATCTGTCATTGGTATAAAGGATTCATGTTCTTTTTCCTCCCCCAGCCTCAGTTTATATAAAACTTTGGTACAGTATGTAATCAATATTTTTCCGAGTGCACCATAATAATAACTTTGTGTAAAGTTCTTGAAGATTTTCAAAGCGCTTTATATGAGTTATGTCATTTGGCTCTCCCAAAAGTATTGTGAGATAGGTAATGCATGTATTATGCCCACGGGGCAGTACTGGATACAAAGCCAATTCTCCTAATGCCAACTCCAATGCTCTTTCTATTGCATTACTATTGTAAGTATGTTTACATATTATATGTGTGTGTATATGTACATATATGTTTTAGAACTTCAAGAGATGATAATTACCAAAATAATAATAATAACAACAGCTAGCATTTATATAATGCTTTAAGATTTGCAAAGCAGTTTGCAAAAATTACCTTATTTTATCTTCACAGCACTCCTTAGAGGAAGGTGGTATTATTATCCCCATTTTACAGATGGGGAAACCGAGGCTGAGAGAGGTGAAGTGATTTGCCAATGGTCACCCAACTAACTAGTACACATCTGAGGCCAGATTTGAACTCAGATCTTCCTGCCTCTCGTCCCAGTTATTTATTCACTGTACCACCTAGCTGTGTGGATCAATGAGATATAGGATCTCATTGCTGTAGGTACTTCTGCCACTGATGCAGATCGCTGACCCTTCATGCCATATTACCTAATCAGATTTCCCTCCATAGCTTCATGCAAGGAAGAAAAGGGGAAAATGTTATTAAGTACTTGCTAAGTATTGCCAAGTGATGGAGGTACAAATATAAGCATAAAGAAACACAGTCCCTTCCACCAAGGAACTGAAATTCTAGTAGGGGGCAGGGGGAGACAACACATAAAATAGAGCTGAAAGGGGGAGAGGAAATGGAGGTACCTTGTACAGGGGCATAATTTTAGAGTCCATAAAATCAGGAGTTGGGCTGGGAGGGCAATGAAGGCAGGCTGGTCTAAGCATCTCCTCAAGGAGGAACTCACCAATTTGAGAAGATGAGATGGGGACCCTTGTTGAGGGATATTCCAGGGTGAGTAGGGCTATTCCCCAGGTGTTGAGGAAAGTTTTGGGATGAGCCAGTGACAGAAGGGACACAGTTTTGAAGTCCAGAAAGTAAGGAACAGGGATGAGAATGCAAAAATAAGAATTAATTTAGATTTCTTTTTATTTTTGGGGTACCAGTGAAGCACTTTGACTGATCTTTCTGTCATCTCTTACTCTTGCCAAATAACTGGCCTGCCTCCCTTTCTGATCATACATTTTCTCAATTATAGCTCTCAAACCATTTCTTGAGTACAGGCTATTATTAGAAATTTACTGCAGTTAGCTTGTACCCACTATATATGCCCACATGCATGCATGCATGCATACACGCATATATACCTTATTCAAAATGATTATTTTGAGGGTGGAGCCAATATTTGAAGGTGGTCCTGTTTTAATAAAGACAATATTTTTCAATAATATTTGTATTGGTTCCTAAAGAAAACTGAAAGGAATTGGGAGATTCAACAGAAAAAAAAATACTTATAATAACCTGCACCTAAATGTGTGTTGAAAGTGTTGGAAAAGTTTCTTCTACAAAACTGGGCCGTCCTCAGGCTTTTGATCAGGATTTTCTTCCTTAAGGGACCAGCAGCAAAATGAGTGCCAGGGATCCAATCTTAGCCAATCAGGGAACGCTGATACAAAATGATAGCTCATTAATTAGCGAGCTGCATTTATTTAGCTACTCTGAAAACCTGCCAGGCAGAAAAATGTTGTAACTTTTATCCACCTTCATTGTTACCTTAAGAGCAGCTCTCTCCATAGCAACTGAAAACTTTTCAAGGCCTCAGTAAACTAATCCTCTCCAGTTCCCAGTGCACCATCAAGGAATTTTAAAAACATAGGACTTTGCAGCCGTGAAATACGTTCAGGGATTCAAAGGCCGCAAAGCTCCAGATACATTATCATTTATCTTCTTACTAAAGGTAAGCACTAGGTTTGGAAATGTTTGTGTCTTCCTCTGTCATTTTTAAATGCTAACATAAGTAACTTAAACTCTTTTTAAACACTGAAAGCAATCCCGGCCTCTCAGTTACATCACAATAGCTGTTAGATTTCAGGCCAGATTCTAACATAAGACGCTGTTAGCCTCCTGCACTCCATTAACAGCTGGATTCCACAGATTTATTTTTTCAGGAAGTTAGTCAGCTCTAAGATTACTTTTCTTTTCTTCAGTGACCAGCTAGTGACTTGGATTTATCAGGGCTACTGAGATCTTCAAACTCTAGTTTTCTTAAGACACTTTTCATTGATTCTCATTCATTGCTAAATAACCAAGAAGAAATTCACTGTGGAGAACAACAGTTAACTGGTTTTGGTTTGAATGTGGTCTGGTTTTTGTATTTAGGGAAGGATAGATGTTCTGACCTGTTCAAAAATGGCATCTTTGGCCTGCCACAAAATATTTGTAAAGATAGATTCACCTTTGTGAATTTCTGTTTTCTTTTACTAACTTTTCCCTTCCCAGTCTCCAATGTTTGAGTCAACTACAACTTTCTAACCTCCAATAAATATGATTTTCCCCTCTACATTGCCAGCAATGGGATTCGTTTTCTATTTGATTTAACTTTATATACTTGTCTCCAGATTGATGAGAGTGAGACGTGGGGAACCACAGGGAACAAGAACAAAGCTGAAAATAGGGGGAAAAAATGAAAAATCAAGAAAGGAAAGTTGGAGGGAAGGAAGGAAAGAGGCAGGGAGGGAAGAAAGGGAAAGAGAGAGAAAATGAGAAACAGAGTCAGGGGAGAGAGAGAGAGAGAGACAGAGACAGAGACAGAAAGAGACAGAGGGAGAGAGAGAGACAGAGACTATATAGTTATAGACATCTATTTCTTATATTAAGTTCCTTGAGGACAGGAAGTTCTTCATTTTAGACCTATTCCCACCACTTACCACTATGTCTGGCCTATAACTGATGTTTAATGAAGTTTTGCTGAATTGGATTGGATTTTACAGTGAAACAAATGAGAGTCTTTTATTTTGCAGACTTCTGTAAATAACTTTGACCAAACAGAAGTTGACATAAATAAATAGACAACGTTAACTAGCTCAGGTATATCAATGACAGGAAGGTTACCAGGATGGCGAATGGACTTTATGTTATGCTATACAAGAATCAGGTGAAGGATCTAGGAATATCAAACTGGAGAAGAGAAGATTAAGGAAGGACTCCATGGATGTCTTCAACTACTTGGAGGGCTGTAACAAGGAAGGAGGGAATAGACTTGATCTGGTTGGTCCAAGAGGTTCAACTAGGGGCAAGGCTTGGGGACAATGTAAGGAAACATCCTATAACAAATCTGAGTGATTGGAGTTATTGTAGGTGGTTTCCTGTTTAGGTAGACTTTGGATTAGGTGACTCTTGGGGTCCCTTCCAACTCAGACATTCTGTAAAGTAGCAATGAACTGAAAAACTTGTTTTTATTACTACTTTTCTTTGAATGTTTACATGAGGGCAAGACAACAAAATCATACTCCCATCAATGTTTCTACAGAATTTTTAAAGTAACAATCATCTTAGTTTCCTGCTGTTTGGGGTTATAAACTACCTACAGACCCTCTGTTGTTTAGTGACAGCTTGTCATTGCAAATCAGCTTAGCCACACAATTAATAACCTTTCAAACACATTGCATTCATTCTAATTAAAGCCTGTTTTCCCCCCTTTTAGCACAGAAATTCCTCAGGTTTCAAGTTTAAATTGTGAACTTCAGTCTGCAGATCACCATCCAAGAGAGAATTGTGCTCCAGTGTGGGGCAGAAATGCATTTAAGGACAAAGCATCCCCTGTGGGGGGTAGTATCCTTCTTTCTACTCCCCATTGTTGTTCCGGAAATTCTGCAAGAGAATCCCACAGCCTCTGACGGTCTCCATCCTCAGAGCCCAGGTCAGCTAATGGAAGTGTTACACGTTCTCTCAAGTGAGAACTACACCCGCTCGCAGAACTACTCCAGAAGACTCATCCAGACCTTACTGGAGAAAACTGGGTGCCCTCATCGGATTCATGGGATGCAAGAGGATTGCAATCTGGTTAGTGCAATGTAGAGGACTCTGACCGTCCTTTACTTCAGGGTGCCCAGCTTCCATGAAAATGCTTGGGATGGCTATGAATACAATTGCTACATTTGAGCCAAGTGCTCAGAATCTATACTTTTAAAGAAAGTGGGTACTTTGGCTTTAGGGAAATATTTCAGTAAGCCTTAAAATGTGACCCTGCAGGGTGTTTTCTTTTTTACTGCCAGAAGCAGTCAGAGGCATTTATTTCCAAATATGAGCCTTCTTCTTCTTTGTTTCTTTTTCTTTCCTTCTTCTCCTTTGCTCCTTCTATTGAGCCTACAATCTGCTTAGAAATGCTGAATTTGCCGTATGCCCGTTTTCTCCCAGGAAATGTGCATTCATTGCTGTAGGATTATGGACTAGAAAAGCAGGGGGGATAAAAGCAAGAGCTTGTGTTTAAAGATAAGAAGGGTGCTTGCAAAACTTTTAAAAATAGCTATTAATTTTTCTTCTGCTGCTGAATTCCCCAACGTTGATAACCTTTTTTGATGGACCCCCTCAGCAGCCTAGTGAAGATTTCTAATGTTTTTAAATGCATAAGATTACAAAGAAATCTATCAATCAATCTATCTATCTATCTATCTATCTATCTATCTATCTATCTATCTGTCTATCTATCAATCTATCTATCTATCTATCTATCTATCTATCTATCTATCTATCTATCTATCTATCTATCTATTTTAAATAAACAAGTTCACAGACCCCAGGTTAAGAACTCTTGAGCTACGATGAGATAATAGTTTTAGTCCAGAATGAATCAGAAAATCTGGTATAAGTGGGATTGGGAGAATGAATCTGGGAGGCATAAACAAGCCTTTGCTAATACTTAGAGGGAAAGTTCAAATGTTTACTGGTGATGTGTACTGTTTTTCATGGTCAAAATATCTTGTTGATACAAAGAATTGTTCATTGCTGTGGGTGAAACGTAAATAATTGAATGTTCACTCAACTTCTTTGCAGCCCCCAGAGATTACCCATACTATATAAGCACTGGAGCATATCTCTATGTAAGCATTTGAGATGTGGCTTTAGTTTTGGTTTACACCATTATAAAGAGAAATCAGAGCTCCCTGGAGTTATCTAGAAAATCATGGATTCTCAGTGTCCTCTAAGAGCTCACCTGAATGGCATGTTCTCTTTTAATGATATACAAGGGCTTATTAAAAATAGGTGACTGTAAGTTTACTTGCAAGTTTTTTTTTTAATCTAACCCCCCTCCACAAAGTTTGGTCCCAGAATATTATTTTAAATGCATTATTCTAAGATACTCTCAACATTTTTGGACCAGTTTTGCCTCAATTTGAATGAACATCTGGTCAGATAAATTCCAATAATAGGCAGTGAAAGTTATCATCTCATGGCTGACTTTTCTTGCAGTCCAGTTGTTTTTTTCATTCCTCCTTGAGTGAAACTCCGTATGAGGAAATAACTGGAAGAGATGGTGAACAAAACAAAGCGTAGATTTTAGGATCCTCTGCACAAAAGTACTTAAATTCAACTGCATAAACAAAGAGAGGCAAGCATACTAAATGTTTCACTGTCTACAAAGCTGGAGAGAAGCCTGGTATCCTCTGAAACATGAAGGAAAGGCTTTGGCTCAGACCAACCACTCAAGGGCCCAGAAAGGCTTCTTTTCTCTGGAGGTCAGTTGCCTCTGGAGAAATTGCTACATGGAAAATAAGAGGGTTAGACGATGTAGGCAATTTCCTAAGTATAAGGAAATGTTTGGGAGATTTGTTTCTTTGCCCTCAAATTTGGGCAATCAGTTAAGACCAAGTTGAAATTAGAACTGCGCATAAAATCCTGTATTTTGTTACTGTGAACTACTTAGAGTGTAGATGTGATTTTCTAAAAAACACATCTACACAAAGACCAAAACCAACAGGCTTTGAAAATATAAATGCTCCTGGAAAAATAGCTGACTTTATTTCAGTGACTGTGATAGTCATAATAGCTACCATTTGTATAATACTAAGGCTTTCAAAGCACGTTACTTTTTTCCTTTGATCCAAATAACAACCCTATGAGGTAGGTGCTATTATTATCCCCATTTTACAGATGAGAAAATTGAGTCTGGGAGAGATTAAATAATTTGCCCAGGGCCAGATAGTTAATTTGTGTTTGAGGCAGGATCCGAACATGAGTCTTCCTGATTCTAAGTCCATCTGAGTATCTATTATGCCAACTAGCTGCCTTGTATGCCTGCCACACTCATGGTTTTTATGCCACTTCTTGCACACAAGTGATTTTTGGTGATATGCTACAGAGCACTGTGGGTCTCTCTATTGTCCACCATTTTGATCCTTCTCAGAGATAATGGTGTTGAGTCATTAGACACCTTGAGGAAAGGCCAGGAGGCAGCTTGAGACAGGCAAGGCAAACCACAGCCACTATCTCAACTATTACCTCCCTTGAGACTTGGAAAGAGACAGCCTAGGACCCTAGGCCCAGGAGCATTGTGAGTAGCAGTGCCCTCCAACGCTCTCCGCCCAGACCATTTGTCTTGCTTCCAACCCAGACCCTCCTCCCTGCATCAAGGCAAGCAATGGATCAGCCATTCCCATCAAATGCTGACTAATTGCCATCTATGTGATAAGCAAGTCAGCCTACCTAAAACACTGAGGTGCCTGGGGGAGAGCTAGAAGGTGGCACGTATGTAGCAAGTCAAACAACCACTACCATCACTACTGCTTCAACTACCACCAACCCTTAGACTCTACTGGAGATACTCCAAGCTCCTGAACTCAAGAGTCTTAGGAATAATGTTATCCTCCACTCCACTGCTCCTATTTCCAGCCTGAACCTTACAATCATGATTTAGGAGAGAAATCACTGTGGATGGGGGGCCTGCCATGCTCATCACCACCAATGCCAAGTAATCTACAGGCAGAGTAAGCCCAAGAGCCCTGGGAGTAGCAACACTGCCTAGAGCACCAGTCTGTCTTCCAGCCCAGACCACACAAGCATAATCCTGGGAAGCAATGTTCAGAGACACAACCAGGAAACTTCTGAAGGTGCTATAGCTACAGCTACTGAAGACCTAGAAAAGAATTTTTGCTACCAAAGTCTTTGGCACTATCAAATGGTTTGCCATCAGAAAACAATAGAATTTTATCAGTGGAAATGACATTTTAAATGTCTCTCTTTTTAAATGTCCTCTTTTTAAAAGAGGAATTGTCAGCTGCCTCATGATCATACTGTCCTAAGGATGATAGGATTTTTCTATCTAATTTGCAACTGAAATCTACCATGTGTGTTGCCTCTTCCATTAGAATGGGAGTTCCTTGAGAGCAGACACTGTCTTAATTTTCGATGTCTCCTAGTGTTTTATAACAGAGTAAGTGTTCAATATGTGCTTTTTTGCATTCATTCATTCATTCATTCATTCATTGCATAACACCACTGGGAAAGTATTGGTAAAAAAAAATGGACTTTGTACCAAGGAGTGGTCTATGATCGTTGAAGGAACTATACAATCTTCCAAATGCAATTCGGCCAGTTTTCATTCTACTCAATTCTGGACTCTGATAATTTTTTTATACACAGTGACTACTAAAGATATGTATACACTAGATCTCCATCTGACTGCATGTCATGATATGGATAACATGACATCTCCATTTATTTGGTTCTTCCTATGCTGATTGCTAGGCCAATCTCTTTTGACTATCTGTGGATCTCACAGAGGAGGTTCTGGAGCATTCCAGGTTTTGACACAATTGGCATAATGTCATCACCAACCACGAACATCTGAAAGAGCTCACTATTTTCAAAGACACCTTCTTCCATTTTGATTGTGCACAGGACATCCTCCACAGTGGTGATAAAAAAAACCCAACAAACCTTTGGTGAGCATATGTCTCCATCTTCTTATAGCTCATTCTCTATTGATAGTCAGAAGATCATTAGATAAAGTCATTTCTGTTGATGGACCTATCAAGGAATTTTTTATTATAAAACATGCCCCAGAGATAAATATTATTGAAGAGAGCCCTTAAGACTATATTTTATTTTATTGAGTCAATTGCTTTTTTCCCCTTAATAACAAACAATAAATACAGAAGTAACTCATATTATCTAGACCTTTCAGTGGATTGTGTCTGAGGATATAATGCACTTGAGCAAATAATCAGTGATTCCATTCTCCTACTTTTGCCCAGGATACCATCAATACCTTCATAGAACAATTTCACGAAGATTTTGTAGATTTGACAAGTAAGCGCTTGGGTCAATAGTGGCTGATGTCTCTTCAGTCCCCTTTGTATTGTTAATACCATCTGAGATCTTTGCATTCATTTCAGTGTGTATTTATTCAGTGTGTATTTGGATTATCCAGATATTGCTTTCAACTTCATTCCCTTAAGTGCCATTTCCATTTATTGATATAAAACATCAGAAATTAAGTCCCAAAGTCGTGGTTCTACCATCATGTATGAGAAACGTCATCTCACGGTAGAGAACCAGCTTTGGACAATCATGTAACTTCTCAGGACAACTCAGACTACAGAGGAGTTACTTATCTAGATAGGCAGAGGAAGTTTCTTTACCTGGGAGTTACTTGTACCAATAAATCATACAAACAGTCCTTATGCCTTCAGTGGAAAGAATGTTGGATTTGGAATAAGGAGAGATCTATTCAAATTCTGTCTCTTATACTAGTTGTATGACCATGATCTTGGACAAATGACTCCAGCATGATCACACAACTCTGATCCCCAATTTCCAAATATCTAAAATGAAAATGAATATATTGCCAGTACTTATTTCAGACAATTCCAGTGAGGGTCAAATGAGATAATGTAGGTAAATAATATTCAAGCCTTAAAATACTTTGTTATTATTATTATTTTATTATCATATATGAGAATAGATTTCTATAGAAACATAGGCAGATCTGTTTCATCTCAACTCTATCTGTTGTCCTTTCATCTTCAAATATTGCAACCATTTAGCCTACTTTGGTTTATTGT